GACATCCAAGATACAATGTTATAAATAGCTAGATCCAAATGATAAAGTGAAGATCGGCGACAATAGAGGTGGTTGGTGAATGGTAGTGGTAGATCAGCGAAAATAGAGTGTGGATCAACGATGATAGAGTGTAGATTAGCGACAATAAAGTGTAGATCGATGATGGTTGAGGTGGTTGGTAAATGGTAGTGGCAGATCGACAACGATGGAGGTAGTTGGTGAACTATGGTGGTGCCCGGTAGCTGGCGACGGTGGTGGTGGCAATGGCCAATAATGGTGTGAGACTTTTAGAGAAAACATGGTTACAGTACAAGATCGACATCCAAGATACAATGTTATAAGTGGCTAGATCTAAATGGTGGAAGTGAAGATCGGCGATGGTAGAGATGGTTGGTGAATGGTAGCGGTAAATTGGTGAAAATAGAGTGTAAATCAAAGATAGTATAGTGTAGATTAGCAACGACAAAGTGTAGATCGATGACGGTTGAGATGGTTTGTGAATGGTAGTAGTGGATCAGCAACAATGGAAGTAGTTGGTGAACTATAATGGTGCCCGGTGGCTGGTGACGGTGGCCAATAGCGGTGTGAGACTCTTTAGAGAAATAGTAGAAAGAGAGAGAGAGAGCTATTTTTTTGGCCTTCACAAAATATGTAATGAGAGTATGATACATATTTTTGGATTTTTTTTTTTTTTTTTTTTTTTTTTGCGCATTTAAAAATTATATAGGACCTATAGGTATTTTAGTCCATTGAATAGGTTCCACTCGTAATTTTACCTAAAAAAATTCATACAGAATCTATAACTGGAATGATTTAACAAAGGGCTAGTCCTAAGACAAGACAGCCCAAATTATAACAAAATCGAGGCCTCTAGTTAATTTTAAAAAATATTCAGTCCAATTAATCTAAGTTCTAATCTAAATTAAAGAATCTATATAGATTATATAATCTTGACTAGTAATTTTGCATCTAAAAGGGTGAGATTTAAAAATTATATAGGACCTATAGGTATTTTAGTCCATTGAATAGGTTCCACTCGTAATTTTACCTAAAAAAATTCATACAGAATCTATAACTGGAATGATTTAACAAAGGGCTAGTCCTAAGACAAGACAGCCCAAATTTTAACAAAATCAAGGCCTCTAGTTAATTTCAACTTTTAAAGTATTAGTGGGCTAAAAAATATTCAGTCCAATTAATCTAAGTTCTAATCTAAATTAAAGAATCTATATAGATTATATAATCTTGACTAGTAATTGTGCATCAAAAAGGGTGAGAAGAATAATATTTAATTGATACTTTGTTGTAGTTAGTTAAATTATTATGTAGTATCATAACTTTAAAATTTCATTTAATATATATATATATATTATTGATTGGATGATGATGTTTTTTGTGTTTTAAATGGATTTTGTTAAATTATAAGGTATTACAATTATATATTTTTGAGTTATTGTAATGGTTTCTTCATTCTTGAATTTTTTTTCTTAATCGGAAAGAAAATCTTCATTGCAAAATTGATAAAAGATCGGATCAATCTAGTACAGCGATATCATAAAATCTCAAAAAATGAGATATAAGCCTCTATAGAGGAGGGGAAAAAGCCCTCACAAGGAAAGGAAACAAAAATCTATACAGGAATGATTATTACATTAACAAACTAAAAATTAAACAAATCATACTGAAAAAAATCAGATCCAAGTCGTCACCAAACTCATCTAAAACTTCACTAATTCGCAACCTTCAACTTAGAATCTAAAGACCCCACCTTCGTTGGTCAAGATAGAACATTGAAGTTGAAATAGTCGCTTATAATGAAACAAATGCATTATCTGTCATTGGTTTTCGAACAATGAGAAGATCTTAAGCCAGACCTTAATGTTTTGGGTTTGAGAATGGAGAAGGTAAGGCGATAATGGTCGGACTGGTGAGGTAAACATTAGATATGAAGGAGAGGGAGATCGAAGAATTGTGGAACCACCATCTCCTTGTCCCCTTGGAGAAAAATCTAGAAAGGAAAGAAACAGAGTTTTAAGGTTTAGATTTGATACTTTTGAAAGGGTTTCATTCTTAATTTAAGTAAATGTAATAAGGATACATGTGAGTAGAATACCAAATGTCAAATTATAACACAATGGTGTCAAAGTGGCCACATATCATTTTGGCACAATGTCAATAACTTTTTCTCTGTTTTAGGTAGTGTTTGGATTTGATTTTTTTTGTGAACTTTTTTCAAAAAATTTAATTTAATTTAATTTAAATATTTTCTTTTATTACATTTTTAGGTTCTACACAACTAGGTGAACAAAAAAAGAGAAAATAAATAAATAAATAATTGAAAAAAAAAATTGTCTAATGATTCACTCTTTTTGTGTGTTGAAATCTATTTTAGGTTGATTTAAGCTTGTCGTGAAATATCGAGAGTGAGAATACAGTTGAGAGAAGGTGATGGGGTAAATTTGGCAAAGTCAAATCTTACACTAAATTTAACATAAGATTTTGCACTACTACATTTTAGTAGATACAATAGCACACCAATTGAGAACTATTTTCACAATTATTGTCATATTTTGGCAATGGCACACCAATAGAGAACTATTTTCACAATTATTGTCATATTTCGGTAAGGGAAATGCTAGGTTTCATGAAAAATTTTCATGAAAACTGTCATGAAAACCATCTGCACCGTTAGATCAGGTATGTGTCTCATGATCCAACGGTGCAGATGGTTTTCATGACAGTTTTCATAACAATTTTCATGAAACGTAGCAGGACCCTTTTGGTAAAGGCAGTTCCAATGGCATGTGCTATATATAGCTACCAAAATGTAATACTTAACTGCAGTCAACTTTACCGAAACATATATACAAAGGACGAAACATCAACTTTGAGACCTATATATGTCTTTGTACTCCTATTCAATCCATAGTATGGTCAATAAAATTGGTCTTTGTGAATAAATATATACGCTTGTATGGGACTTCTTCATGAGGCCTTTTTAAATTGGTGGGCTTCCTAATTTATTGAGGTGCGCTTTGTTTAGTAGGGGGCCTTATATTATTTAGCATGATTTAAGTTTTATTATATGATGTGATTATATGTATATCTAATTATATGTGTTTACCGTGTTTTTAAATTAAGGTTTCAATTACAAATTTGAAGTTAAAAAAGTTAAAAATTTGAAATCCAATAACTAATATTTAAAAAAATTCAATATATTATCTTAATTTCAAACTTACATGAAATAAAAAAATAAATAAAAATTTATTGATTAGTATTTTATGATGGAATGTCTTTAAATTGTATTTTTAATTAAATTATTTTAATATGACAATTAATATTTTTTAAACAAATAGTATTAATTTGATTAAAATTGTATTAAAAAATAAATGACGCCACATTTTTTAAATCACATAGTAATTTCAAAATCATCAATGACCAAATATTCATAGTGCTAAATATCGTACTAAAATTTAGCAAAATATCCTTATCGTCCTAAAATTTGGAATCGGCCCAACTCCAACGCTACTCTTTATTTTTCATTAGCTAAAGTACAAAACAAGAATACTCTTTAATTTACCTAATTACTTTTTAAAGAAATGCTCTTTAGTTTATCTAACTGTATTTGTCTATGTGCTCTCACGCTCCACTTTATTTTATCTATATATCCTCACAAATTGTTTAAAGAGCCTCCGAAAGCTCTCTAAATATAGCTAGCTTGGAAATTTTTTTGTTAAAATGACTAGTCGCTAGTCTAATTAGAGGAGATAAAATAGGATGAGACTATTTATAATAGCCAACATGCCTCTTTTAAAAAGGCCATTAGAAATGCTCTCATTATAAAATGACATCGGTTTATATAATATTTATTAATTACTATTACATTTAAAACTTATTACTGAATGCTCATTTTTCTTTGCATAACTATTATTGTAACTAAGATGGATTTATTACCTTTACTATTTGGGGCAATTGATAAGTAGTGTTTATATTTTGCAGAGACTTAAATAAGCGGGTTTGTTTTTCTTGCTTGACCTTTAACAAGTAATGTTCTATTACGCCTCTATTATTGAGGCCCAATAGACTATAAGAGTGTTTTTTTTATTTATTTGGGCCTTTGGACAAAGAATATTTTATAGGCCTTTTAGATAAATTGTTGGGCCTTTAGAAATATTAATGGAGGAAGAGATTTGTTTAGAAGGAGAACAAGAGGCAGTAGACGTAGTTATTAAGAAAGTGAACATTTAAAATGTTAAATAAATAATTAACAAGGAATAGTAAACTATATGAACATTGCTAGCAAAAATTTAAAAAAAAAAAAAAAAACAATATGAACATTGTGAGTGTCATTCTTCTAGTTTAGTTAAAAAAAGGAAAACAAAAGGATTTTAGAAAATGACGGTAAACAAAACAAAAACACAGGAGCACATCAGAGAAACTTGAGAGGTAGGCTTGGCTAAACATATTTTGCCATAAACTTTGCATTAACACCACTTAGCAAAAAAATTGTAACACTTGTCCTACATCGAAAGTTTGCATGGGTGATCTTGGGCATATAAAATACCACTACCTTGCTACTAAATAACTTGGATTTAAGCTTTTGGATATTGTTGGTGGACCCACAAGTTACTTGGGCCAATAAGTAGTGGGTATCAGAGTCAACCCATGCACATAATCATGTGGGCCACTTATTCTGTGCTGGCCACGAGCTTGTCGTGGTATTCTGATTGATTATAGACCCTCGCGAGGACACCAGAATTTATAAGTGAGGGAGTTTGTAACACCATGTCCTACATCGGAAGTTTGCATGGGTGATCTCACTACCTTGACTTAAACTTTTGGGTATTGTTGGTCAACCCACAAGTTACTTGGGCCAGTAAGTAGTTGGGCATTACAAAAATACTTTGCACTAGTCCAATGCATACTTTGCACTAGTCCAATGCAAATTTAACGTTAGTTTTGCGGTTAAAACTATTAATATTTGATATTGTTTATGGCAGGGTTGGGTGCCAGAAATTGTGGCTAGTACCATGAAGATGTTACAGAAGTGGAAGGCAGAAAGAGGAGGGAGAGATGAATTTGAGTTGGAGGTGCACAAACAACTTCATGAGCTCTCTGCGGATATCATATCTAGGACGGCTTTCGGGAGTAGTTTTGAAAAAGGAAAGCGCATTTTTGAATTACAAGAACGCCAAACAATTCTAGTGTTACAAGCCATAAGGAGTGTCTACATTCCTGGATTTAGGTGACTATTAACTTCAACCCTTCAATTGCTCATCACCTTATTGTTACAATTGCCATCAACTTTGTGATAAAGATATGCGTGCCTAATTTTCTACATAATAATTTACACACTCTACGTGTGTCAAATATTAGGTAGAAAATTCAGGAAAAATTTAACCAAAATCCCTCCACTAGACCCTTATTTGATAAAAAGGACAATTCAATTTGTTTTGCTTCATAAACCCCCTAAGGAAGAAACGCATAATTGAGTAAGGACAGAGTAAAATTTCTTTCTTTTTTTCTTGGACAATATTGCTCATGCATATATATATAGAACTCTTTTGATGAGGAACACTTTTATTTTATTTTTACAAGTTTAAAAATGTTGTGTATGTGTATTTTTGGTTGGTTCATCTAGTATGTACTCTGTTTTTTGTAACAATAAAATGTTATTGTTTACGTCAATTTCGACGGTATTTTTTTTTTTTTTTTTTTACGAATTTTATAGTCAACATGAATTTTGTCTGATAGATGTTGATGAGAGGGTTTTAAAAATACTAATTTTAGTAAAAACTGACATTTAGATCAAAAATTATATTATCTTAAATTTTAAAATAATAAATTACTCACTAAATATATTTTGATAATAGTGGTATTTGTTGAAATTTTCAAGGAAAACTTTTTGTATTTGTCCTTAATACATTAAAATTTTATTATAAGGGCGTTTTGCTCAATTCTCCCAAAATTAAGTAACTCAAGCATTGCCCCAACTTTATTGTATTGCTATCATAGTTGTTTCATCTAAATTAATCTTGATTATTAAAAGCACTAATTTTCTTATTTCCTTTTTATTTTAATTTTTTTGACTTTTTTTTCAGCTTTTTACCTAATATTGTTCAATTTAATGTCAAATTTTTTTGGAAAATGTTTTTTCCCCCTAATTTCAGCCCCCTGAATCCCCCGAATGAGATAGGAGAGAAAGAGAAGAGAGGAGAAGAAGAGGAGCCCGCCGTCGCCTCCGCCCGATCGTCGCCCTCCGTCGCTCGTCGTAGCAGCTCCAGCTCGTCGCAGCAACCCCGCTCGTCGCAGCTCCGCCTCTGCCTCCACCTCCGCCTCCAGCCCGATTATGTTGGCCCCCTCCCCTCCAGTTCTTCTTCTTCTTCTTTTCCTTCTTCCTTCTCTTCCTCTGATTCTCTTCTTCTGAAAAAAAAAATAAATAAATAAAAGTAAAAAACGACGTCGTTTTTGAATTCGGGGGATTCGGGGGGGCTGTCTTTTGAGCTACGTAGCACGACTCAAATTTTTTACCTTTTAGACTTGTCTTAAACTAGATAACAATGATTTTTATTTTATCTAAAAACAAAAACAAAAAAAAATTAGAACCAAAAAGGTCCACTAAAGATGAAATTATATTTGTATGCAAAAGCCTCTAAAATCATTTTTTTTTAACTATTGTGTTTTTGAAAATTTCAAATTTCTAAGGTCGTTAAGTCTCGACGTACCTAAAAAATGAAGGTTAAAAAGCCTGATTTTTGTCTTTTAAAAATAAAGGTTAACAAAAAACAAAAGCAAAAAAAGAACAACTGTTTGGTCACCCATTCAGCTTTTATCAACATAATTACTCATAAATTGCGTTTAATAGTTTATTAAATTATTAAAGTCATAAAGAGAAATTGTTAGCATTAGGAGTTGGCCCATCAAAAAGTCCAAACATATGGCCTTTTTTTTTTTTTAGTTGTTGGAAGTTTATGTTTAAAATTAAAACCCCAACTTTTATGTCCCTACAAAACAAAACAATTGAAGGTAATTTACAGCAAACGGATTGTGAAGTTTGTCTAATTATTCAGCTATTTTACAAATGCTTTACTAGAAATCCTTAATAAATTCAAGGGTCTTGATTTTCTTAATTTAAGAAAATCTTGTTTTCTGTGATTTCTCAAAACACTTTTTATACATATGCAGGTTCTTGCCCACTAAGAAGAACAGAATGAGGCAGCAGTTGGAGAAGGAAACTCGAGAATCAATAAGGACACTAATTATTAACAACAAAACTAGAGAAAATCCAAAAAGTCTACTTTCTTTGTTGTTGTCTGTCCATAAGAATCAGGATGGGGAAGAAGAGAGATTAGGAGTGGAAGAAATCATAGATGAATGTAAGACATTTTACTTTGCAGGAAAGGAAACCACTGCCAATCTTTTGACTTGGGCACTTCTGCTGCTAGCATTACACCAAGAATGGCAAAGCAAGGCTCGAGAAGAAGTGTTTTGCATTTGCAGGGATAGTGAGCTCCCGACTGTTGCGAATTTAAATGACTTCAAGACTGTAAGTTCAATTTATAGTTTTTCTTAGTTAGCTTGCCAATTGTTTTGGAGCGTTTCAAGCCTACTTCATAGTTTTGTTATCATTTTAATTTTCGATTTTTCGATTTTTTGTTTTTATTCTTATTTTTCATGTTTTTTGGAAACAAAAACAAAAAATTCGAAAACACTCTGATTATTGACATTGTTTTCATTTTAGTGCATAAAAATAAACTTAAAGGCTTTTCCTAAAAAATGGAGTGATTTCTTTTCTTTTCTTTTTTCAAAAACAATTTGCTAAGTTTTCCATGTCAATTTTATGTTTTTATAACAGAAAAATAAAAAATGGTATGTTTGGTACTATTTTCATTTCTTTATTTTCGTTTTTTGTGTTTTCAAAAAAATTTAAAATACCCATCATTTTCGAATTGATTTCACCCTTTTGTGCAAAAAAATTTGAAAGCAACTTTTAGTTTTGCCTAGAAGGGGTTGATTTCATTAAAAAAAAAAAAATCCTAAAACAGTTTCCAGAAACAGTTCATCCAAATAATATATATTGTGTTTCGAGAAAATTTAAAACGCAAACACAATTGTTGACAAATTTTGATCATATTAGGTTAATAGTGAATTTCATCACTTCGTACTCAAACGACTACGTCCGATTCCATGACAAAGTCTAATTGTCATTTGACTCCATTAAAGCAAGTTTCCAAAACGAACATAATGCAAGAATCTTGTCCATGAAATAGAGTTAAAATTGAAGAATTACGAGAACATGATCCGATTCCATGGCAAAGTCTAATTGTCATTTGACTCCGCTAAAGTAAGTTTGCAAAAACAACACAATGCAAGAATCTTGTCCATGAAATAGAGTCCAAATTGGAGAATTACAAGAACATGACAATAACATCATATCCATTAATTATTCGCCATGAAAAAGAGTCCAAAATAAAGGATTTGAGAAGCGAACAACTACATGCATTAAATATAAGCTTTCCTAACCAACTTAATATCTTAATTAATCTTTGTTCTCTATTTGGGCACACATAGCATAAGTCACCATTAATATTTCTTAATTACCAACATTTATTATACTTTTGGCAGGTGAGCATGATACTAAATGAAACATTGCGACTTTACCCTCCAGCAGTGATGTTGATGAGGCAAACATCCAAAAATGTGACGCTAGGCGGGCTCGACGTTCCAGCTAACACCCAACTCTATCTGGCCATGACTGCTGTTCATCATGAAACTGAGATATGGGGAGCAGATGCTAATGAGTTCAATCCTTTGAGATTTACCGGGGCTCGAAAGCATCTCGCCGCATTCTTTCCATTTGGTTTGGGTGCCAGAATTTGCGTAGGTCAAAATTTGGCAGTAATGGAAGCCAAAATTGTTTTAGCTATGATCGTCCGACGGTATATTTTCTCAATATCACCCTCATATGTGCATGCCCCAATTCAGTACATGACCTTGCAACCTCAACATGGTGCACACATTCTCTTCAGGAACATTACAAGTTGAATTTTTGTCTGAAATAATGTTTGGTTTTATTGTTGTTTGGATCTAGTAAAATTTCACTGTCTTGTACATGTATAATTTGCTATGTTTGACATTAATCTTTTAGAATATACCATATGCTGAGCTCGGTTGAACCCACCAGTTTTTATTTTTTATTTTTTTTAATGTTAATTCATAGCTAGGTGATAATACATTAATCTTTTTGCCGGTTCTATCATTTTCTATGTTTTTTCGTTCACCCCTACTACAACCATAAATGTCCTCTAAAAATGACAATGAAATGCTTAAATTCTCTATCAATATATATCCAAAAAAAAAAAAAAAAAAACCATTCAACAGTTAAAATATGTTGATTAGATATGATTATACCTCATTTGTGACGGCTTATAGGCTCATTTTGCTCCAAAAAGTTTTAAATCATTTGAATTTCACAATGGGTACTATTCAGGCTGTGTTGGGTGATTGTTTTACAAATGGAATCGAAGCTTCCAACATTCCAGTAACCTTCTAGGAACAACAATCGGCATATTGGAGTGCATCTTTGTAACGCCTCCAAATAACTTTTATAAGAAGGGTTCAAAATCATCTATCATCGAAATCATAATCCAAAAGCTACAATATATATGTAGTCTCATCACAAACATCATCATTTAATCTTAATAAAATTTGGAAACTAGAGAGATGTGAATAGTCCAAACACTAAAAATAATTTCACTTTTAAAATTACTTGTCAATTAACTATTTCAATTTTAGATCAACGGTGATAACAAATCACATAAACATAATGCTATAAATAGAACAAAGTGATTTAATATGAAAATCTGATGAAATAAAACATTTTGGAAAATTTAATATGAAAATAGAACAAAGTGATTTAATATGAAAATCTAATGCAAAAAGATTACAATCAGTCCATTTTGGAAAATAGTGTCCTACAAAACATTTTGGAAAAAGTATAAATGAAAATTTTCAAGGTTTGCCTCTTGTAAAAAAATAAATACTAAAATTTTAATTTTATTAATTTAAATCGTAATCTTTTACAATAGTTTGTTTTAGTCTAAATCGGTTACTTATTCTTATTAAGTAAAACTGAAGAAAAAGTAATATTTTAGTTATTAAACTTAATAATAAAAAAAAGTATTTTATACATTTTATTTACACTTACATTAGTTTAATAATTTTTTTTTTTCAACTCTTTTGTAGCACACGTGCCCTGCTAGTATTAATAAATAAAAATTACTTTTGAAAGAGAATCAATTTCACATCCACCATCTACCTATGGGAACATTCAAAGGAGCAAAAATTGCAAATCAAGTAGAATTTTGATTTGATATCTCAAAATTGTGATGGCGAAGCTATTCGTGACAGCCACACGGTGATTCAGGGGCAGTTTCATAGTTCGCCCCCTTAACGTCCTTTTTCGGTTAAGTTTGAGACGCTTTTGGCTCTGACTCCCAACCTACAAGTGCAAATCACATTCCGTCTGGTGTCACAGGTCCTATTTGTGATGGAGAAGCTGTTTGTGACAGCCACACGGTGGTTCGGGGGCTGTTTAATAGTTTCGCCTCCTTAACGTCCTTTTTGGGTTAAGTTTTAGGTGTTTTTGGCTCTAGCTCCCAACCTACAAGTGCTTCCCAGACATTTTCAAACAGCTTCGGTTTGGTTTAGCAGCTTCTCATTGAGCCCATCCTTCTAAAACTTGCTGTCAAATTTGGCCAGAGTTGTTCTTCTTGAGACCAACTGCTAATTTTTCCATGACTGGAGCAAATCAGTAACGTTCTCATAGGGTATAATTGGTTACTGATTTACATATATAACCACATATCTGAATGAAGCTCAGGCTTTAAAATTTATTCAATGAACCATTAAAGGTCATGTTGACGAGCGAAAGTGCAAGACTATTATGAATAGATGATGTGAAAGAAATCAGTCAAGTAAACAGTTTAGGCACATATGATCACAGTGCTCAATTGTTTTATCAAATCCACATAGGCAATTTAACAAGGATGCCACAATTGCAAGCAGCAAACAAATTTGAATTTCGTCAAATTCAAGTCACAAAAATATTAGGAATACAAATAAATTTTCTTTAAAGCAACAGAGCATATACCCATAACAAAGCTAAGAAGGTAAGGCACTGTGATATGAAGTTCATTGGGCATAGCCTCCAGGAGAGGGAACAAAGGTAGCAGCTGTGACCTGCCAAATGAACTTGCTAAAACAAATAATTGAGTACATTAGTTACTAGCAGTAATTTGGCCAACCAGAAGGGCAACCATAAATGTCCTCTAAAAATGATAATGAAATGCTTAAATTCTCTATCTGAAAGCTAACCTGGATTGGCTAAAATTACTACCAGGTTAATGGTTGGATTACGAGCTGCGACAGCAAGTGCTAGGCATCCCCCAAAGGAATCGCCCACCAGATAAATTGGTTTATTTGGAAATGAAGTATGTTCGAGCCTCACAATTTCTTCCACAAATTTCACATAGTCTACACGCAATAAAATGTAAATTTTAATTAATCTGAAGAGGATCTGAAAAAATTGTGGACAAAGGCATACAAGATACACAAACAAACTCACTATACAAGAAAATAATAATAATAGTAATAGTAAGAATAATAAAAGAACGAAATTAACTTGCAACATTATTTATGTATATCAGCAGCACAAATAAACTATCATAAGTAGCACTGCAGCACAAAGAAATACTTACAAAGATATTTACAAGTTACAGAAGTTTAAGACATTCAAATGGTGTTTGGTCATAAACAGGAATATGCAGGCACCGAACTTCAAAAGCTATGTATTCAAAGCAATCCCATATTAGAATTAGGGTTACAAATAATCAAAAGGTACCAAACTATACATGAATTTCCATCATCATAGTATTACTCAAACAGAACAATGCAATTGTAAGACAAGAAATTTCTTTGACCAGCATATATGCAGATTCTATCACAATGGACCCAAGAAAATTGAAACAGAATAAATTAAGAACTTCTATTGCAATACAAGCATAGTTTCGCCCCCTTAACGCCATTTTATCCTGATTTTTTTATTGTTGACACTAACTGCTTAACCAAGATCTAGATTGCACCAATTGAGATCATGCAAGTCAAAAAATTCAGGCCTCTATTGTTTCTTCCTCGCCCACACCCCATTTTGTATTTATTCCACTTCTTACTCTTCTTTCCTCCTTGTTAAACCATAGTTATCAACCAATATTCTCACAGATCCTAAAGACATCTAGAGTAACACTTATTTTCCTGGCCATTACATTTATAACTTGTACAAATTCATTTACCAAACTCATTGAAAAAGAGACATTGCAGTATTTTGCAAGCACTAAATTATATCATGCTGTAGCTCAAGAAACTCACTTAGGTAGACTTCAGATCTTTTTTTCTTAAAAAAAAAAAAAAAAAAGAAGAGAGAGAGAAGAAAAATGGAGAGATGGAGACAGAGAGGAGAAGGTAAAGAATTAGAAAACTCCAGTGCTCAAAGGAAAAATGTCCACACCTTCCAACAACAGATTTGGCATTTGAAATATAAGCAAGGGTCACTTTCAATGATCAGAGACACTAAGAAATAAAGGTAGTTCACATCCCATACCAACATACACAAAAGGGAAAATTCAGCCCCTGTGAAGATCCATAATTACTCCCCCATCACATGATGTTCAACTTAGTTCATCTCATCAAATTAAATTGTCAGCATTAACAACAATATAGATGGCAGTCATCGTCAACCCACAAGAAAGGAATACAAAATTCATAGGAAAATCATTTAGTATCCAAAAAAAATTATGATTACAGTTTTTTGAATGCTAGGCTATGGGTATGACAATGTGAGAGTGAAAGATTGTGGTCAAGGACTAGTGATCTTGGAAAGATAAAATCTGAAGCTCTATTTTTCCATAACAATGGTATATAACCCTAAATTATTTCGTCAAACATCTTGTGAGCAATACATAAGTGATCAACAAAATGAAAAATATAGGGATCCAATCATTTGGGCATAAAACAGAGCAGCTTCCAAACCTAAAGGTCGTGAGAAAAGTTGAAGCTATGAAACTGAAATAAACTATATATAAACAGGAGACACCGCACAGCCAAGGGAGATTGAAACTCTTGCATTGCAACCCATTACTTGCAACGTCCAAGGGAAAAAAAAAGGGAAGGGGGAAACCGCAAAAAAAAAAAAAAAAAAAAAAAAAAAAAAAATCAGAAAAGGGGGAAACAGAGGAACAGTGTAAATGAACATGAAATTAAACCCTAAATGAACAATCAGAAAAGGGGGAGACAAAGGATGGGAGAGAGCGAGAGAGAGTGAGAGAGAGAACCTGTGATCTGCGGCTGTGGCGGTGGTGGCCGTGCCGACGTCCTCCATACGGTGGGCTGCGGTGAAGTGATTTGGTGGTGAGACAATCTGGGTGTAAGAGAGTTTGAATATCGTAACAGAGGAAGCACGGGCAACAAAATTATTGTTTCCCTCCCAAAACTCATATCATGTAGCGACTTGGGTACTTAACTTTTTAGTCAAAAAGTTATTGTTTTAGTCAAAAAGTCAACAACTCATACCAAAAAGTTAAAGATTCTTTTTTCTCTCTACTTTTTGCACATCCTTTCGTAATTAGCCAAAAAGTCATCCCAAACATATAAGTTTTTTTTACCTACTTTTTTAGCCAAACAGCCAAAAAGTTACTAAATTAGTCTGTTCCCAAACGAGGCCTAAATCAATTTTTTGTCGGCAAATGTATTAAAATTTATTTTTTTTAATATTCTTTGTATTTGTTGAATTTTTTTTAAAAAAATTTCACAGATATTATATTTAGTCAAAGATTCTCTTTTCTCTCTACTTTTTGCACATCCTTTCGTAATTAGCCAAAAAGTCATCCCAAACATATAAGTTTTTTTTACCTACTTTTTTAGCCAAATAGCCAAAAAGTTACTAAATTAGCCTATTCCCAAACGAGGCCTAAATCAATTTTTTGTCGGCAAATGTATTAAAATTTATTTTTTTTAATATTCTTTGTATTTGTTGAATTTTTTTAAAAAAAATTTCACAGATATTATATTTTTTAAGCATATTTGGCTAAAGTGTATCTAAAAAATAAATATTTATAAAATTCACTAAAAAACAAAATATACATATATATATATAATTCAATTTGTAGTACAGGCAAAAAAAAAATTCAACCAAATGGCCAACGGTTAAAAAAAGAGGGCATCAAGATGATAAAGAGTTTTTTTTGTTTTGTTTGTTTTTTTTGCTGAGTAGGATAAGAGTTGTTAAAAAAATAAAATTAAATAAATAAATAAATTATTTATAAGATAAGGGAAAATATCTATATATATAATAATGTTATATGTAAACTATAAAAGTGTACAAATAAACTCCTTAATTATAAAAATGTATCAATTGAACCCCCTAATAGAAGGGGTCAAAGTGAAATATATCAATAGTTTAGGGGATTTATTTATATATTTTTATAGTTTAGGGGCAAAGTAATACTTCTTAATAATTTAAAAGTCTATTTATACGTTTGTATAATTTAAGGAATCAAAATAATATTTTTTTTATAGTTTAAGAGATTTGTATGTAAATACTTAAAAAAAAAATCAAAGATTATTGCATATATATATATATATATATGTATGTATAAAACTTACCCTAAACAAATCTGCATAAATATGACCCACCATTCTCTAATATTCAGCCACGCTTGGAAGTGTTGATTTCAATGGAAAAGTTTTAAAAAAAAAGTATTAGAAAGTTTAAAAAATTTATGTGTTTGGTTCTGTATTTGGTTCTTTGTGTGCGTATCATTATTGTTATTTTTTTGTACCTCACATTTTAGTTAAAAAGTTACTAAAAAATCGTTTCCCAAATAACCTTATATAAGCATGACTCTTCTAAAGGTTCAATCCTAAGGAGAGATCATAAGTTCAATTCTCCCTAAAGGGAGTTGAATTAGGAGAAAAACATAAGAATAAGGAGATGAACTCTTATAAATGTCAATCAACCTAACAAAATTAGCTTACGATAGAAACTCCTATATAAAAGAGAACAAGTGGAACAAAATAAAGAATAAATTATACTGACCTTTTTGAGATTAAAAAAAAATCTACAAATTTAACATAATTATATTGAGGGCTTTTTTTAATAAGTTAAACCAAATGAAATTAATGCAAAAATTAGAGTGACTAAGCAGGAATCTTTAACTTTTTTTTATATGAGTTGAATTTCTTTTAAGTTTTTGACTTTTTGAATGACTTTGACAATTGTTTTTACTAAAATAGCCCGTTGTCAAGCAGATTCTAACTTCTAAGTATATTTTTTTTAATCAAATTATTTATTTTTAAATAAATAAATATAATAAGAATAAAATCAACTATTTAAACCACTGGAATAAGATTTGTGATGAGCTCTGTGGGCTCAGTTGCACGTTCTATCCACATGAAAATGGATTCCTCATAAGCTTGTTTCATGTGAATATAATTGATTTTTTTAATAGGAAATATAAAAAATAAAAATAAAATGTTTGTTAAACCTTTATTCCATAAATTATTATTATTATTTTTTCACCCTTAAGTTATCACTTTCATTTATTTATTTATTAGAATTTTTTATGTCAACTTATGTGGTACAATTGAAGACAACTATTTAAATTAATAACTTTTTAAAGCTTAATTTTATGGACAAAAAAGTCCTTGTAAAATATGAACAATACTTAAATGATAGTACGGAAAGGGGGAGGATTGTAGGACTTGGTAAAATTCAAATCTAAGGATTCATACTTCCCACTTAATGAGGATGAGGTAAGTTACATTTCACTTTAATTTTCGTAATTTCAATTAGAACTATTTAAACCTCATACTTTCAATTTTAATGCAATGTGATCAGCTCATTATGTGTTGTTAACATTTTTGAAAGGGAAAATATCACATAAGGGTGCAACTTGGGCGGGCTCAACCCAACCAACCTGAATCCAGCCTAGATTTTCTTAGGGCTTTGACAAGATATTTTCAAATTTGGTACGAGTTTGGACAAAAATCCAGAAGCGTGAATTAAATTTGGGCGAGCTTGGGTAAAGACATTAAACAACCCCAGCAACCCGAAACTCGAATTATATATATAGATATATAAAACATATTAAATATACATATAAATTATTAGTCATTACATGATATTAAAGTAATTTAGATTATTAAATCATATTGAATATATATTTATATACAAATAATATAAAATCGTACTTTTTTTTATTTTCACTCATAAATTGTCGGGACTACTATAGCTGCATCTCTCTTACATTATATAAATTATTTGTTTTGATGGTATTAATGATTTTCTATAAATAAATAAAAATGTAAATAGAGTTGCTGGTTTGTTACGGTTTGGGTTGGAAACAAAATACATATATAATTAATAACAATTCACGACTAAATATTTTAGTCACTAATTACTTTTTTAGTCCCTCCAATATTTGAAATCTCCCTCCAAATATTTTAGTTTTTTGGCGACTAAAATATTCTTTTGTCGCTGAAAATATACTTTTGGCGACCAAAAATAAAAAAAAAAATTTCTTTTCATTTGGCTACTAAACAATTTTAGTAGCTAAAACTAACTATACGGCTACTAAAATATTCTTTTGTCACTGAAAATATAGTTTTGGCGACCAAACTTTTTGTCGCCGAAGATAAAAAATAATTTTTTTTCTTTTCATTCAACTTCTAAACAATTTTAGTAGCTAAAACGAACTATAAGGCTACTAAAAAATTCTTTTGTTGCTGAAAATATACTTTTGACGACCAAAATTTTGGTTGCCGAAGATAAAAATAATTTTTTTCCTTTCATTCGGCTACTAAACAATTTTAGTAGCTAAAACTAACTATACGGCTACAAAAATATTTTTTTGTCGTTGAAAATATACTTTTGGCGACCAAACTTTTGGTCGCCAAAGATAAAAAATAATTTTTTTTTTCTTTTCATTCGGCTACTAAACAATTTTAATAGCCAAAACTAGCTATACGGCTACTAAAAATTTTTTTAGTCGCCAACTGTAATATTTTTAGCGACTGAATTTTTTTTAGTCACCAATAATCAATATTCCCCGATTAAAAAAAATTAGTAACTAAATATTTGACTTGTGCCAACTAATATTATTTTTAGTCGCCAATTCCACAACTTTTGGCGACTAAATTTTTTTTAGTCGCCAAAAGTAGTCACCAAAAGTGCATTTTGTTGTAGTGTTATGTCAGTTTTTATTCACTCTATCCCATCATGATATGTGATTATTATTGCATGTTAGTTTTATTGCATCCCACTTCCTTGTTCCTCGGTGCCTGCTTTTGCTTCACTACAAGAAGCAATAAGACTAGATAAGATTAGATCAAAACCAAAGATGTGGAGTGTAGTTTGGGTAATAAGACTAGATAAGATTTTATTAATTCCAAATCCCACCAAATCAAATTCCATTTTCAAATGCCAATTCCATCTAATCCCACTATTCCAAATATGTTACCATCACGTTTGTTTTGGTTTTATTTTTTCCCCTAAAATATTAAATCATATTGCAAATAAATAACAATCACAATTCCAATAACAAAATTTCAATCAAACAAACTCAAGAAACTCTAACCTTGTGCAAAGATTGTTGCCAGTAACTAATGAAAGAGCAAGTGTGTGTTAATTTAGTAGTAATATCAAACTTAAAATGTGGGCTCATGATAACTATGTGAGTATCCCGTTATGAAATCTTTTTCTAATTGTTCAATCCAAAATCCAATCACTCAAATTATGTTTTTCACCTTCCTTAACGCCTAAATTTGATTTGAAAATGTTTAAATTTAGAAACAAGCAAGTGCTCAAAGCAAAAAGATTAAACATGGCGTTAATATCTGTAACACCCCCAATTTTCATACCCAAATGATAATACAATAATCATGGCTCTTCAAGGTAAATTTGAAAATAAATCTTCACACTTGCATTACATGATACAAATAGTCTTCATGCGATAACACATTCGCTTCAAATCAAATAACATAAACAAATAAATACCCTCATGGGTTCACAAGTTCCCAAGACTTAGGCCCGGTTACATAAATCGGTTATTCAAACCACACAAATATAGCCCTTAGCTTACAAAACAGAGTCATGCAAAATGAGAGCATTGTGCTCCCAACACATACACTTCCATGCCCTTAGTTGGGCAGAATCACCACGTCATTTCCTGCACAAAAATCCCGTAGGGTGAGCTCACATCCCAGTAGGAGATCCTTAACAAAGTATATGCATTTTATACAAGTCTCAAGATGATGAATGCACATGCCATGCTATGTTCTTTTAAAAGTAAGACGCATCTACATCTTTTAAAAATCATCATGCTCAATGATGTCATGCAACTCCAACTATTCAAAATTAACCAATTTAACTCAAGGGGCGGTAAATACAACTCTGGTAACCCCTAGGTCAGTGTCTGCAAGTAGACTATACAAGTACT